ACGAGTTGTGAAAAATTCCTATAAACGAACGAGTGAGTGCAGCGAACGAGTGAGTGCATAAAAAAGTCGTACAAGCGAACAAACCATGAAGTAATTTGCTTATTTTATGAGTTATTATATGCTATAGTGAAATTTAGGGCATGTAGTAAAACATGGACTGGACTCATTAGTAAAACATGGACTGGACCCGATTAGTAAAACATGGACTCTATTAGTAAAACATGGACTCTATTAGTAAAACATGGACTCTATTAGTAAAACATGGACCCGATTAGTAAAACATGGACTCTATTAGTAAAACATGGACTCGATTAGTAAAACATGGACTCGATTAGTAAAACATGGACTCGATTAGTAAAACATGGACTCGACTAGTAAAACATGGACTCGATTAGTAAAACATGGACTCGATTAGTAAAACATGGACTCGATTAGTAAAACATGGACTCGATTAGTAAAACATGGACTCGATTAGTAAAACATGGACTCGATTAGTAAAACATTCCTAAATGTAGTTCCTTGTCTGTTTTTTTGTAAATTGTAATTTTAATAACATCAACTTTAGTGCATAAGAGGACATGCAGTAAAACATGGACTTGACTCATTAGTAAAACATGGACTGGACCCGATTAGGGGCCGACCATTTAACTTTTGAGGGGGGGAGGGTGATTTACTGCTGGCAGGGAATTATTTTCTGGGATCGTTATGTGCAAGATTTTTTTATCCCATGTACGATTTTTTTTGCCACACTTTCTTTCGCAGCATTTTTTTTTTCAATAGCTTATACTATTTAGATTCTTTAATTATAGTTAACGCTGAGTTTTACGCTTCAGGCATTGCTCTTAATAATACATATTGCTATGAGGTATAACATTTGGTTCAGGGCCTTTTTTAAGGATGTGTAACTGGAGAGGACATAATTAGCGGGGGACCCTGGAGAAGTTCCAGTCGGCAAGTCTGTATTATCCAGGGCCGTAGCTAGCATGGATAGTTGGGGGGGGGACGGGGGGTGTAGGCCAAAAATTTCCGAATGACGAAAATAATTTCCGAATATATCATGGCATACTAAGCCACGAACATGTTTGCTATTCGGAAAATGAGGACGCAATTTACAAACAAAAATACGCATATTTTAGGCACAGACATATTACAGAAGCAGTGCGGTAGGGAGCTTTTGTTTATTGGGGGCAGAAAGCGAGGGCCGAGGAAATTTTTAAATTTCGAAATGCCATTTCATAGAAATGTCTTTGAAATGCCATTTGCTGGACTTTGGGGAAGTTTTGACAGAATGCTGATGGTCAAAAAAAAGCGTTTTAGTATGTCGAAATTTACAATTTGCTTACAATTTATAGTGACAATACAATTTTATAATATTTTCTCTGCTTAACAACTAAAATTTTGTTCTACTATTATTGCCATAATTTTCCGAATGGCCAACCCGATTTTCTGAATACGTTGATTCTAAAAAAGTAGTGGGGGGGTTAACCCCCCCCCCAATACCCCCTCCTCGCTGCAGCCCTGTCTGTATCACTGCAGCTACCTACAGCATATATATATATATATATATA